CATACCCTGTAGATCAGGCACTGCCAGTTGTCATAGAATTGTCTCAGCAAGTCTTTTGACAGCAGCATGACAGCAAACGATTCATGATGAGCATCACTGGCCATTGCCTGGATACAGGATAATTGTTCCAAGCCCTCATTTTTCATGTGAGGAATCTGAGGCTTGAAGAGGGAGATGGATTGTGTGATGAGGGAGGAATCACTCCCCCTCCCTGCTGGCAGAGACCATCTGTTAGGGGATAGCTGAAGGGACAAAGCTCTGGGTCCGAAGGTGTTAATCACTCAAAGTCACAAAAATAGGCCCTGAGATAGAGAAGGATGGCTTGGAATCCAGCACATTATAAATGTCCCTTCCTCATCATCTTCTGGAGATGACGGAGATTCCTGATCTTCTCCCCGCAAATTCTCTCCATACTTCATTTATTCCTATTCTTCATCCCATTCAAATGGATCCTGGCCCCAAACAATCAGACATCAGAGCCTGTCCGTCCCTGGTGTGCATGCAGCACACCACCTCCAGGGGCCCTCAGCCAGCATGAGGAGGTGCAAGGGGACTCCAAAGGGCAGGCCTGAGTTCTAATCCAGCTGCACCCCAGACCTGCCTGATGAACTGGCTCATATGGGGTGAGAGAAGCCAGTCTGAGGCAAGGAGCAATGACTCCTCACCCTGACTTTCCAAGTTGAGGTAACTCTGGGCTCATGACCACCTGATGCTAGAAATACCCTCCATGGAGGTTCTCTCCTTTACCCTTCTCCCAACCCAGCAGAGCTCTGGGGCTGCTTAGGACTCACTTATTCTGGTCAAAGTGGAAGGAGAAGGCAGCTGAATCCTCTCCCTGATGGGGCACATGCTTCTCTCCCAGCTCTGAGTCAGGGTTGCTTTCTTAGGTTGAAGTTTCCAAAACTGGGTGGCAGATCCATCATCTCATCCATAAGCATGGCCATCTCCCAGCAGGAACCACTGTATCTCTGAGGATGGCTGGTCATGATAAAGCAGCCTTTTATTCAAGTTCCCACTTAAAAAGAAAAAGGACAGAAAGAAAGAGAAAGAAGGAAAGCATGTGTTCATAGTAATGGCTGTCATTGAGTAAGCACCTACTACGCGCCAGGCATCATATTCTGCTTTACACACACGATCCGATCGCATCATCACGAGAGCCCTATAATAACAACTACTATTATTATCCTCATTTTTCAGATGAGCAAACTGTAGGTAAGAGAAATTGAAAGACATGTTCAAAGTTAGAAAGTGAAAAAATAGCAGAAACAAAATTTGAACCCACAACTGTCTGACTCCCGAGTGTACCCCTTTCGCTAGCTGCCCTGCTGCCCTTACCTAATCCTCCTTCCAGCCTAGTGAGGCAGAGATTCTTATTATCGACCCCCAGGACAGGTGAACAACTGAACGTCAGTAAAACTGACACTGTTACTGTCCATGGAAGTAGAGAGAGGGCAGCTGTCACCTCAAGCATTTGCTCAGCGTAGTGTTGAGCGTAAGAGCACGAGCCCAGGTGAGAAAGGGATTCAAATTGAGGCTGAGATCCTCGCTAGTTGGGTGACTGTGGGCTGTTACCATTTTTAGTTTCATTCCTTTAAAATATGGGGATGATGATAATAACAGTGTCTGGTTTTAGGGCGGCTGTGACGTTTAAGCAAGATAATGCATGTGAAATGTTGTGCATGTGAAAACTGTCGTTACTTAAACTCCTCTGCCTCTGACTTAGAGGTTCAGATTTTGTTCAGATGTTTGACATATTATCCTAATTAGTTACGTAGCCAGTGCTTCTGAACCTAGCCGATGTCAGAATTACCTGCCAAAAGTACACGTGCTCGGGCCCCACCCCAGGAGATTTTTATTTAGGAGGACACGGGTAGAGCCTGGGCCTTTTTATCGTTAACAAATTCCCCGGTAATTCTAGTGCACAGCCAGGTTTGGGGGAACAAATCTACTAGCACAGACATCTCAGCCACAGTGGGAAGGAACTCTGGTTGGTTCCTCTCCAAGTCCCCTCTCCCCTTTCTTGTCACCACCAGCACCCCTTTCTCCCAGGTCCTTCCCGTTGACTTGTGAGTGCTCTCCCCAAATCAAGGGCTCTGGCCTTGCAGTGAGTCAGTGGCACTCAGAGTCCCATGGAGCCTGCCTTTCCAGAAGCCTGGAACCCAGCATGGGCTGGGAAGCAGGATGCCAGGGTTTGTGCTCTGGCTTTGCCCCCTTCTGACTCACCGGTGGCCCAGGGCCAGTCTCCAAGCCTCAGTTTGCTCATAGTCAATAGACAGTCAATAAAAGCAGAGACACCCGTGTGAACTCTGCTTCCTTAGGATGTGTTCCTGGCACTTGACAGCCAGAGAGCAGTTGGGGGACACCTGAGCAGGAAGTGGGGGAATAAGGAGAAATCCTGCATGACAGTGATTTCCCATTGACATCTCATTTGAGACATCTCGCAATAATGGGGAATAAAGTCCAGTGTTTACCTTGGCTTATAACATCTTCTATTATCTATCCCTTGCCTTTGTTCCAATGTCTTCTTATATCCCTCCTTCTCTGGCCTTCTTGTTGTTCCTTGGATGCTCCAAGCTTGTTTCCACCTCAGAGTCTTTGCACTGTTTACAGTTTGAAATGCTTTTGCCATGGATGAAAACAAGTCTGTATCTTTCTTCTCATTCAGGCCTCAGTTTACATGTTACCTGCTCAGAGAAGGCTTTGCTAATCAGCCATCAAATCTAAAGTGTCATACTGGGCACTGGGACACACCATCCCACGGCCCATCATTGTATTTTAACTTCATCTTAGCACTTATCACTACAGGATATACTTTTCCTTGCTTATTTACTTAATGTGTTGCTTGTCTACTATCGAATGTGAGCTCCATGAAAGCGGGTCCTTGGCTGTCTTGTTTATTGCTGTGTCCCTGGCGCCTGAAGGTGTTCGGTGTTCAGTGAACGTTTAAGGAATAAATGAATTCATGAGTTTGCCCGAGCATGGACTGTGATTTCTTTCTTTGGTCAGAGGATACCCAAAGTTCTCAGAGGGGAAATGACTGTCCCAAATCCAATTCGGGCCTTTTATCTCCTTTCTTCAGGCCCTTCCTGTAAAACCTGGCTGACATACAAACCTAGCTGGGGTGAGGCTCTCAGGTGTGATGAAAGCTTGGAGTTGCCCCATGAACAGGGCTGAGGCTGATGTGGGGGTGAGAAGGCGGAAGGACAGAGCATAGAAGGGAGAGGCAGGCTGGGACAGGAGTGCAGGGTGTGAATCTGGCAGGGGTGGGGGAAAGGGGGTGATTTGGCCATGTGTCAGGAAGTGTTTCCTTCCACCCTTCCCTGAGGAGAGCCTGGCCCCGAGGTGGCTTTGTTTTGGGGAAGCAGGTAGTCAAGCAGCTACAGAGGGAGGACAAAGGTGTGGCCTGGGTGGTGACCATCCAATGAGGTCCTAGGCCCGACAGTGATCACCCAAAGGAATAATCTCACAGTGGCTTTTGGCCAAATAGGTGACAGGTGAGCTTCCGTCTTTAAGCAGTCCAACTATAACATGGAGCCTCAGATCTGGCCTAGGGGCAGGCAAGGGGTCTAGGGAAGGGAGGGAAAAGAGGTCTCTAAGGAAATAGAATGGTCAAGGTGGAATGCTTAGTGATAATAACCGTAACAACAATCACAATAGGTCACATTTATTGAGAATTTATACTATGTCTGGCACCATACTATATGTGTTCCCTCATTCGGTCCTCAAAAAGCTCTGTACAAAGTAGGCATTATTATTATTGTTATTATTCCCATTTGAGAGATGTGAAAACTGAGGCTCAGTGAGATTAAGCATTTTTTCCAGGGTCACATAGTAAGTAGCAAAGGCAGGATTCAAACTCATGTCTGTAGTGAGTCTAGTGCGTTATGGAAACCTAAGCCTGGGGAGGGTTGCTGGGGCAAGTAGAGAGTGTAGAGCCAGACTGACCCCTGCAAAGGTGGGGGTAGGTAGGGACAGTGGGATAGACTGTGTATAAATAGCAGGCTTGTTTTTATCCCTACGCATGGGCAGAATCAGGCAAGTGCTCTATCTGGCACAATTTGAGGGCTCTGAATGCCAACCCAGCCCTGTGTCAAACAACTCCCTCCCCAGCACGTCCCTAGGAGCTGAAATACCTACTGAGAGAGTCATTTCTTTGTGTCAGGACATTGACTCCAGAAGACCCCGGTAAAAATACATGGGTTGGACGAGAAACACCTGGCACCTGTTGAACACAGCCATCTAGATTGGCCGGCTGGATCCCACGGGAAGGAGGCTCATTTTTTATGTTGGGGAAGAAGGTGGCATGCAACGGCAGGGAAAGTATGAGGCATGTTTTACAACCCGTGCCTCTCCAATCCCAGAAGCCTGGGAATTAGAATCCATAGTTCAAAAATTTTAACGTCCCCTGGGGAGAAAGACAGGGGAAAGCCACTCCGGCGTCTGGGAGAACAGTAACTTCCTTTGCTTTTGCTGGATTGATACCAAGTGCCTGCCACTTCATCTCCGGTCATCCCGGGCTCGTGAGAACTGCTGACATTCAGGTGTCTAATTTTTAAATGATAAACGAATTATTATTATCTACTACTTGCTGGGTTGGTAGGCAAAAAGGCGAGCTTCTGAAACTCAGAGGGTGACACGGGTGGAGACTCCTGGTATGGAGCAGGGACTGTCCAAGGGACCAGGCCCGAGAAGAACTCAGCTCAGCAGTCACAAAGCTACAGCCGGACAGGCGTTTGGGGATAGGTAGGAACTGCTCCCTGCCACCTGCCGGTCAGCAGCCCTGCCCACGGTCAGGCGGCGGCTGCCCTGGCCTGGTCCCAAAAAATGTGAGCGCCGCCCCCTTCCCCGGCCGCGCCCGCGGGCCGGGGGCTGAGCTGCCGGCGCCGCGAGCCGGGCGGGCTTCCCAGCTCGGGAGGGGGCGGGGCGGCGCCGGGCGGGGCGGAGCTTCGGCGCCTCCGGGAGCCTTATCCCCGGCCGCGCGCCGGGGCGCTCAGTCTGCCGTGGGAGCCGCGCGTCGCACGCCGCTGGGGGCCTGACTGAGGGGCGGCGGTCGGCCGGTCGCACGGACCGGCGAAGTGGGCAGACAGACGCACGGCGGCCGCGAGCTGCGCGCAGGTCCCGGCCACGCTTGCACCCGGAGGCAGGCGGAAGGCAGTGCCCCGCCGAATCTCCTGCGCTCCGCCACCCACCTCCCGTGCCAGCGCCCAGCGCCCAGCGGCCAGCGGCCGCCGCCTCCACTCGGTCCGGGACCATGAAGCTGCTGCCGTCGGTGGTGCTGAAGCTCTTTCTGGCTGCAGGTAAGAGGGCTGCTGACGCCCCCGGAGGTCGGGGGGATGGGGCGCCGTGCTGGGGGCACGGGGAAGGTCGCTGCAGCGCCGCCGGCGCGGGCCACTTGGTGGGGCCCGCGCGCCCTCGCGGACGGGCGTCGGCATCGGTGCTTGGTGGCCGGGGGTCTGGGCGGGGGGTTTGATGCGGCCTCGCCCTCGCTCGCAGTGCTCTCGGCGCTGGTGACTGGCGAGAGCCTGGAGAGGATTCGGAGAGGGCTGACGGCTGGAACCAGCAACACAGACCCTCCCACTGGATCTACGGACCAGCTGCTACCCTCTGGAGGCGGCCGGGACCGGGAAGTCCTTGACTTGGAAGAGGCAGATCTGGACCTTTTTAGAGGTGGGTATGGGGCCACCCATCCTCGGACCCTGGTGGGCAGTTGACGAATAAGCGGATCCGAGATTCATGCTGTTTGGGCACCCCTGTGGTTTGGGAGTATTCATGGAGGACCTTAAGGAAGAGCTGATCGGCCTGGCAGGGCACTGGGGGATTCTGAAATATAGATCCCACTGTCTTTCTTGTCCTTGTCTCACCTGCCGGTTGGTTCCCCTCTGGGTACTTTGGAGAAATTGAAACAGGCAAGTTGTCTGGGGTTGGTACATTCCTCTGAGGTAAGCTGGGTGACAGGAAAAAGGAATGGTTGATATGCTTTCCCTAGAGTTTCTATGTAAAAATGGGTGCAAGCCCAAATTCCCACATCAAATGACTGTTACAAGTCATCAGATGACTGATACAAGCGATGTGGAGATGCCAGGCATGTAGAAAGTGTGCAGTGTCAGTCTCTGCCATCCGCCTGTCTCCAGGTTGGGGAAACAAAGGGGGTGAGGAACTCTTGGCCTCCCTAGGTAAGGACAGCAGCTCTGCGGGAGGCAATGAATGGTGAGCCCTGGGCCCCTCGGGGGGGCTCATTGAGATGCTGGGTATCTATGACGCTACTGCAAGCCTGGAGGCCCCCTGACCACTTTGAGTTTCTAGGAAGACTCCAAGGGGGAAGGACTGTGTGAGATCCTCCAACCACCATATGTGGCTGTGGCTGAGTACAGGCATAGGGCAGAGTCCAGAGCCTGCCGGCCTCCCTGCCCTGGGCCACCTGCAGCGATTCTGCAGGGTGGAGCAGGGACTAAGCCCTGTAGCCCCGGAATGACCATATTTGGTTGGAAAGATGCCCACCTGTTCTAGCCCTGCCTGCTCCACATGTGCCCTTCTCCTTCCTTACCAGGAGCTTCCCTGGGGTGCTCTGTCTACTTTGTAGAAATCAAGAGTCTGCTCCAAAGCTGAGCCTGGGCTTCCACACTTCATCCTCTCACAGTGGCCTTCTGGGGTCGCCCATGGCCTGAACAGCCTGGATTCTCCTGGCCCTCTCCTCCTAAGCTGGGCAGGGCTGGGCTGTGACTCACCCCACTCCCACACGGCTGCTCCTCATACCTCTACAGACCTGACTCACTGCTCCCTCTCCATGGCAGGACACTGGCTGTCACCCTGCACTCTCTCCCTCTTTCTGGTAGCTTGGCCCTCCTGCCTTGCCTTCCCCATAGCCCTGGGTTCCTCTGATCACCAGCCTCACTTTCTGAGCTCTGAAGGGGCCTGGAACTGGACCAGAGGAAACGAGGGACTGTGGGGCTGTGGGCACCTACTTCTCTTCCCTTCTCTTGGCTTTGGAAAGCGAGGATTGCTTTTCAGTTTTGGCGATCCTATCACCTAGAATAAATAACTGCTACCATTTATGAAATGCCTATTGTGTTCTAAGCATTTGCTATGCTATCCTGGTTAATTTAACCCTCGTAGCAATCTTCTGAGATAGTTGCTCTTGCTACCCACTTTTCACCGAGATCCCCAAGGCTCAGAGAGGTTCAGTGACTTGCCCAAGGGCCCATGACTGAAATTGAAGCACCGGTCTACCAACTTCACAGCCCATTCATTCCTGGCTCAGCACCTCAGTGCTCCACAGTTGTAGGAGGGGGGAGGTAGAGAGGGGTGTGTGCGGCAGCTGGGTGCAGTGGGAAGGAGCATGGGATGTAGAGTCCAGAGACCATAGTTCTAATCCCAACATGTGTGACCTTGGGCAAGTCACTGTGCCTTTCGGGACTTCAAGTTTTTCATCTGAAAATGGAGGGTCATGATATTCTTTGAAGTCGCTTCCAGCTTGAGGATTCTAGGTCTCCAGTCTAACGTGTCATGCTCACCCCTCTGCTAGACACATGGCTGTAGCCATGGATGTGGGCACCTTTTTCCTGCTAGCATGGGGGGAATAGGGTAGTAGGACGGGGCTGGCATGCATAGCCCATGGGCAGTCCCACTGGATGTCTAAGTGTGGATGTTTTTCCCCTACTGTCTCTGAAGCCTAGAAAGAAGGGGGGAGTCATCATTGTTCTAGTTCCTTCTGGACAGTTCCTTACTTTCTATCTCTCTATGTCTTGTATACACTGTACCCCCCATCTCAGAGAGCTCTGAACAGGACACTTAGGGATAAATGTAAATGGATCATTGAGAAAGTTGGCAAGCTGTAAAGGGCATAGAACAGGGTAAATATTTTGTTTGAATTCGAAAAAGCAAGGCCCTGACCAGGGATGGCCCCGCTTGCTGTTCCTGAGCCAGGCTCCACCCTGAGCTCGTGGCTCCCTGGTACTAATGGGTGCTCCAGAGGGGGCCGCCTGAACATACGGACACTGTTTTTGTTTTAGGAGCCCTCTACTCATATAACCTCCCAGTACCTTCTCCAGAGGCAATTTTTGCCTGTGACACTTTCTGCAAGTGGGTCACTGAGTACAGCATCAGCAACTGAGACTGATTTGCCAAAATAAAATGAAATGGGTGTAGGGAATTAGGAGATGATAGGAGGTGGATAGTGGGGAGGGGGCGAGTTTGGTAGAATTGCCCAGTGAGCTGTCGTTACTCGACAGAAGTTAGCATTCTCAGAATGAGACTCTTAAACGGAGACTGTGAAATGCCTTCCTTGGGACCCACCCTAGCTTCTACTTCCTACTGAGGTTCCCTCTTTCTGATGGTTCTGCCCAATTTACCTTCAGCCCTTGGGAGACACCGAGCCCAGGGGCCTTTCCAGGCTCGGACATCAGGTGGCATGAAGGGTACATGCTCCTTCCAAACGCTGTGCTATTCTGTTCTTCCTCCGTGAAGAGCCAAAGACTTACCAGGGTGCCTTTCTCCTGCAGTTGCTTTCTCCTCCAAGCCACAAGCTCTGGCCACCCCAAGCAAGGAGGAGCATGGGAAAAGAAAGAAGAAAGGCAGGGGGTTAGGGAAGAAGAGAGATCCATGTCTTCGGAAATATAAGGACTTCTGCATCCATGGAGAATGCAAATATGTGAAGGAGCTCCGGGCTCCGTCCTGCATGTAAGTGTCCCTTCCCCAGGGCTGAATTTCATCAGCACTCTCTGTCAGCCACGTGGCTGTTCCTCGTTGTCACTGTTCCTTGAATTCATAATTTCACCCAGTTTCTTCTCAACCTTTGGGCGGAAGTTGGGAGGAGGGGAAATATTTTTAGTCAGCGGAAGCTCCCCTTCACTCCCCACCCTGTAGGATGTAATTTCCTGTGTCATGGGTTTGTGACGCTCTTTAATCCTTGGGGACATTTCCTCTTGCCCGGAAATGAGCATGTGGCTAGGACAGCTGGCACCTGAAGCCGGGCCCTTCATTCCTGCCCCGTGCCCTACTCGAGGAGGGAGAAGCCTCTAGGAAACATGGCATAGTGGCCTTCTGGGGTGGAGTGGAGCTCCCGTAGGCAGGTATGAGGTGCATCTGGACACATACTGCACAGGGATATGCGTATTTGGGTTTGCGTGCATGCGAGCAAGCAAATGTGGTTGATTCTGAGGCATGGCAGGACTGTACAAAGAGGGGAGAAGAAAGTTGAAGGTCATAGGAGAAGGTCAAAGCCCCTCCTCCCTTCTCCCACCCCAGCAAGGGCCAGGCGGTGGGAGACATGGAGAGCGTTGGCCTTTGGCCATGGCAGTGGGAGAACACTTCCTTTGTGCAGGATTAACAGGAAATGGAACCCGACCCAGCAGGCATCAGCCCCCGGTCAGGCAGCATCACCCCTTCCCTGGGTCGGGGTGTGGGCGGAGGGGCTATGGGTTCCTTAGCCTCTCTCCTAGGCAAAACCCAGCAAATGCCTGCCTTGGCAACCCCTCAGGGATGACAGCACTGCCATGCTCTCTGGCAGGCATAATGTCTCCACTGTGCCCAAGGCCAACACCCCACGTCAGGCTACAAACATTCACTCTCTTCCCTTGGGGAGGCAGGCTCTGGGGCCTTGTGGGGAGACTCTGGACAGGGCCAGGAGACTGCTGTGTGCATACCACCTCCCAACCTGTCAAGAAGGCTGGCTGCCTGGTGTTTCTTCTATCTGTGATGGGTGTAGGTCCCCTGGATTTTTTAAGCTTCCTTGTGCTATATGATCACACATAGCAGAGCTGCCCTGTGTTTGGCAGTTGGCAGACAAAACCGTCACTCCCCACCATGTCCACAGTCACTTGTGTGTCCTTTTCTATAACATCCTTGTCAGGAGCTTGGTATTGGAGGGGGTTGTTTGAGAGTGGCATAGAGGGTCCCCTTATCATCCTCCCCAAGGTGTTGGGACAGGGCAGGAAATGTTTGTCTTCAATTTGTAAAATGGCAGCATTAGCACGGGGTGGAGAAAGTGACTCTGGGCAGTCAAGATGGATTGAGGCCTGGAGGAATCTGTGCCACGTTGGTCCTGGCATTTTGGTGGATGCGTGTGGGGCTTCCGCTGCTTGGCTGAGAAGCCTTTTAAGGCTGCTGTCCTGGACAGCTGGGCTCATTTGACCACCTAAGCCCAGTGAACCTGATAAGCATGTCCAGGCCACCTTCCCAGTGGCCCTAGGGATGGGGATAACTGTAAAAATGCCTTCTGTCTTTTGTCTCAGGGCTTCAGTCTTTACATTTAACATGAGTTGAGCCTAAAAGGTGTATTGAGCACCTATTTGGTGTCAGACACTATTCTAGGGGATGGAGAGATAGAATCTCCTGGGATTTTCAAAAGTCCTCTGCTGGGTAGGCAAGACGTGCTATCTCTACTTGAAAGATTGGGCAGCTGGAGCCAGAAAGTAGGAAGTAGTCTGCCCGAGATCAATAGCTGAATAAGTAGATGGACACGGGAGAGGGTCTCAGATGCCTGACTCCTAGTCCAGCATGTTTTTCATGCCCCAGGCTGCACTGGGTGTTGGCTTTTGTGCTTCTTTCCTCTATCTGTCCTCATAGAGTTTGAGCAGGATTTTATAGAGGGTAGCTGCTGTCCTAGAGGCCTCTTCGGCTTTTACTAAGAGCATAGCAATCTGATTTGAAGACTTTATGTCAGCTTCCTGGGCAGATTTTCAAGGGGTAGATTCTATGTCTGGTCTGGCTCCTTCCTGCCTCCAGCCCTTGGTACTCAGGACGGAAGGCAGAAAGAAGACACAGAATTCCTGGTTTGGGGGAATGTGACATCTGTGCCCCTATGTCGGGGGCCCTTTGTGACTCCTTGCCTCCAGACCCGGGAACCGCCAGCCAGGGTGTGGCCAAGCTGCTGTGGTGAGCTCGAGGCTAGCCAGCTTCCGAAACCAGCCCTCTGCAGCCACCACAAACAGGAAAGCCCTTTTGTGTCACTAGCCAAAAGTTGCCCTCAAAGAGTAGTTTCCTGGGACTCCTGACTGGCTGCTGACCCAGAAATTGGCTGCAACGTTTCCACGGCTGGAGGAAACCTGGGGGCAGTTGGGCTGAGGACGACTCAGAGCTTAAGAAAGACAGGTCTGAGGGCTGCTCTTGGGCTCCATCGGACTTCGGTTCCCCATTCCTCATTATGGGCAGTACCCTCCGGAGTCTGATTGTAAAAGAACTCATACAGTGTGGGACTTGGCCTTTTATTAAGTACTTTCATCTATGTTATCTCATTTGATCTTTTCACGATATTCTAATGAGGTAGGCATTTATTATCCCTGCGTTTTACACGAGAAAACCAAAGTTTAGAAAGGTAACATGACTTGCCCAAGATCACCTGGCTAGAAATAGCAGCAGGACCAGTCTGGAACTCACGGATTCTGAGTCTCCTCCATCCAGTGGTGCCTGCTGCGCCTCCTGGCGTAGGAGCAGAGAAATCCAGTTTGGAAGATGTCTCTGGACCCTAGAGGGTTGTTTCTGTTATAATACGAGTTCTGAAATGGGTCACAGACGTGGGTAGGAGGAACATGTCCTAGTTTGATGGACGGCTGGCTCTGGACAAGACACACGATCTCACCCCCACCCCGGGATGCTTGGAATGTACTCATCCCTCCTCCTTTCCTGGGGAAGCCAGGAGTTGTCTGCAAAGGGAGGGGGAGGTGGGTAATATTAGGATGTTTACATTATTATCCTTTTGACTCAGGGTGGGGGTGGAGGGATTATGTAACTGAATTGTGGGACTCTGAGGCCAAGCTTTATTTCTATCATCTGAGTAACTACCTGTGGGGTTTGAAGGATGGGCTGGAAGTGAAAAACAAAGTCAGCTTCAGCTTCCCTCTCCCCAGGAGAGCAGAGTCTCTGAAGTTTCTCAGACTGCTCAGTTGAGTCCTGGCTCTACCACTCGCTAGCCTTGTAAACTTGGGCAAGTTATTTAACAGAAGTTAAGCCTTGGCCAGGTGCGGTGGCTCACTCCTGTAATCCTAGCACTCTGGGAGGCCGAGGCGGGCAGATTGTTTGAGCTCAGGAGTTCGAGACCAGCCTGAGTAACAGCGAGACCCCGTCTCTACTAAAAATAGAAAGAAATTAGATGGACAACTAAAAATATATAGAAAAAATTAGCCAGGCATGGTGGTGCATGCCTGTAGTCCCAGCTACTCGGGAGGCCGAGGCAGGAGGATCACTTGAGCCAGGTGTTTGAGGTTGCTGTGAGCTAGGATGATGCCACGGCACTCTACTCAGGACAGTAGAGTGAGACTCTGTCTCAAAAAAAAAAAAAAAAAAGAAGTTAAGCCTCAGTCTCTTGTCTTTAAAATGGAGATAGTAACTCCTGCCTCACAGAGTACTTGGCTCATGGTGAGCCTTTAATGTTTGCTATTTATTATTATTCATTATTATTTATTATTCAAGCTATGAATAATAAATAATAATACAGACAGTAAGGTCAGAAAGCCCCATGAATCTATCAGGTATGTATTTCCTTGGGGTTACCTGCACTGTTTAGAGTGGTAAGAATCATGAATTTGGAATCTGCCAAGACTGGTTCCTAGTCTTGGCCTTGCTGCTTCCTAGTTGTGAAACTATTTGCAAATCACTTAACCTATCTGGCCTTAATCTTAGTCTTTCTATCTGTAAAATGGGGCTGTACCTGCTTGTCAGAGTGTAATGAGGCTCAGCTGAGCTCGTAGATAAGGCTAGTGGCTTATTAACGGTAAAGTGCTGTGCACAAGTAATGTTCCAGGGGTACTGCTGGGAGTGTCCCCGCGTCCTGGTGTGATCAGGATCCTTTTTTTTTTTTTTTTACCTACCCGGGCTGATGGGACAGATGCATGGAGAGGCTGGGCAAGGAACTGTGTCATACGCTGTATGTGTCGTGTGCCTGACCTACATTTATCCTGCAGTGAGGTGGTTCCTCAAAGCACCCAGGAGGATCTGGGGCAGGGATGCAGTGCCACCCAGCCCGACCTCTCTGATACTGCTGGGTCTGGGCAGGTCTGCTCCCTGCTGCCCTCTCAGCAGGAAGAAGGGATTCCTTGCTCTGAGGTACCCGGCGTACAACCTCCTTCTCAGAGAAGGCGCAGCTCAGAATAGAGGGCTGCCAGGTTCTCAGTGCTTTCTTCAGCAGCTATGGCCTGGAGTCCCCAGGCAGACAATGCCACTGCACCGCCTAGCTGGGGGTAGGCAGTCGTGGGGTGTGTGTGGGCAGCACACTGAGCTCAGAGTCAAGCAATCCGTGTCCACATTTCTGCCCCGCTGTGTGACCTTGGGAAAGCCACTCCGCCTTTTGTAAAACAGGGCTCCTACCTACATCAAAGGATCTCTGGGGTGCTCAGATAAAGGAAGGGATGTGAATGTGTTTCTTCAACTGTAAGCACTTCTGAGGCTTCCTAAGAGCTTCAAGGAAATGCTTTGTGTTAGAAGAGGCAGTTGCCATTTGATTTATTTCTTGCGTGAAAAGAGCCAAGGGATTGTTTCTGACATTCTTCCATGCTCTGGCAGGGCAGCTGGGCAGGAAGATGTTATCTTGGTTTGTTTGCTTTGTCCTGTGATGAGGGAGGCCTGATAGCCCAGCGTTCAGAGGCCAAAGGCCGAAGTTAAGCTCCCAAGTTGGGCCCTGCACCCAGGGGGAGCTGGGAGTTAAATGAAGGAAACTTGAGAAAAATGACTCCTGGCTAAGGAACAGGGCCTATTAATAGGCAGGGCAGCGGTGGACAGGGACTGGACGACGGAAGCATTGATGGGCAAGGCTGGGTTTATTTCTGGGTCAGAATGTTGAGGGGCCTCACTAGAGGGAGTGATACTGAATCCCCTCAGTTCAACCCACCAGCTCTTGTGCCCAAGTCCTCATAAGTGGCTTAAACAGAACGCCTGAACACACATGTAATGAATCAGCCACGTGTAGAACATGTCTAGCTGCGACCTTCAAGTCCTCCCTCGCTTTTTCCCTGCCTGGAGCAGGATTCTCAGGCCAGAGAACCAGAGAGAATAGAGAAGGGGAAGGCACCAAGTGAGGGAGGAATGCTATGGAGCTTTCAGAGGGGCTTTAAAGAGTCTCCTACTGTAAAGAAGAAGGATGGAGGAAGGGTAGGGGTCATGGTCAGGTGTTGATAGGCTGAGGGTTTGAGGAATGGGGTTTGATGTATATAGGCGGGCCACTGCTAAGAAAGAGACAAACCACTAACCCCATCTCCTCTCTGTTGTGTCTTAAACTAGCTGCCACCCAGGTTACCATGGAGAGAGGTGCCATGGGCTGAGCCTCCCGGTGGAAAATCGCTTATATACATATGACCACACAACCATCCTGGCAGTGGTGGCTGTGGTGTTGTCATCCGTCTGTTTGCTTGTCATCGTGGGGCTTCTCATGTTTAGGTGAGTGTTGGGGGCCCCTGCAGGCTATTTCTGCAAATCACTCCCATTTTTCTCCTCCTGGGTATTCTACGTGATGATCACATGAATCCCTTCTCCAATACCCCTAAATCATGTAGTTCCTGGGTGTAGATTCCCCAAAAACCTGGTTCCTCTGACATGACATGAGTCCATTGTCTAGTGTCCAGGGTCAGACTTGCCAGGCCATAGCAGGTTCTGGTCCTCACCGGGATTCTTTTCCTACCTCTGTGGCCCAGCCAACCACCCATGGAGCCACCTCTTCACACATTTCTTTTCCTGGCTCTGTTCTTTGATGGCATTAGTGTGTGGTTTGGCAGACAAGGCATGGGTGGTGCTATTGGTATATCCTTCCAATTTTGAGGCATCTGGACCTCAGGCCATGCTTCCAATCCAGGTATGTTCTAGGCTGGGGAGACCTACCAAGTACTCTCTGCCTGTTTTCAAGCAGCGTAACTCATCTGTCGTGAGACCTGGAACAAGTTACTTGTCTTTCTGAGGATTGTAATCGTTCAACAATTGAAATATCTGTCCACCTACCTCATAAGGATATTGTAAGGATCAAACAAATGAGGCGAAGGCTCTGTGTAAATTGTAGCTTGCCCTTAGAGACAAGCATCCCTCAGGGCAGTTGGGCCTTTGACCAGAGGTCTTCTGGGCTGCCATACCCTCTGGGTTTTTCCAACTAGTGGAGGGAACCACTATGGCAGAGTTCTCTGGAAGGACCTGCTCTGGGATCGGCACTTTGTCATAGTGGCCAGAACTTGTGTTCACACAACTTATCTTTCTCAGGTACCATAGGAGAGGAGGTTACGATGTAGAAAATGAAGAGAAAGTGAAGTTGGGCATGACTAATTCCCACTGAGAGAGACCTGTGCTCAAGGTAATGGTCCATCCTTTGTGTGTCCTGGCTCTGTTTCTTTTGAGGGGTTGAGGGGCAGGCCACTGTGGAGTTAGGGTCGCATTGCAGAGTTGTTTTCAAAAAGACGGTCAGGAGCTTCATCTCCGCTTCGGGTGAAAGTTGCTAGAGAGATACCCAAGAAAGATGCCTGAGAGGACAGCTTCTCCGACCCTCCATCCCTCTCCTTTCCTCCTCTTCCCAGCTGATTTTTTCCACTTAAGACTGGACCCAGGACACTCTTAAGACCTCGTTAGACTGGACCTGGCTTTAAATGCCTTCCTCCTGTGCTTTAGGAATCGGCTGGGGACTGCTACCTCTGAGAAGACACGAGCTGATTGCAGATTCTGCAGAGGAGATGGACTTCACAACTATCCATGAAGATTCTTTGGTCCCCAGTTGCTATCTAGATTGGGCCTCCCATAATTGCTTTGCCAAAATACCAGAGCCTTCAAGTGCCAAACAGAATATGTCCAATGGGATCTGAGTCAGAAGAAAGCAAAAGCAAGGGACCTTCATGCCCTTCTGATTCCCCTCCACCAAACTCCACTTCCCCCCATAAGTTCGTTTAAACACTTATCTTCTGGATTAAAATGCCAGTTAAATTCCACATGCTCCAGGATCTTGGACTGAAAAAAAAGAAGAGGAAGAAGAAGAAGGAGAATAAGAAGGAAAGAGTTGTGGACTGGAAGAAAGCAACAAGGATTGAGAAGCCATGTACTCAAGTAGCCACCAAGGGATCTGCCATTTGGACCTTCCAGCGCTGGATTCGATGAGCTAACTGTGAAATACCACAAGCCCGAGAACTCTGAATTTTGGGACTTCTACCCAGATGGAAAAATAACAACTATTTTTTGTTTGTTTGTTTGTTTGTAAATGCCTTTTAAATTATATATTTATTTTATTCTATGTATGTTAATTTATTTAGTTTTTAACAATCTAACAATAATATTTCAAGTGCCTAGACTGTTACTTTGGCAATTTCCTGGCCCTCCACCCGGCATCCTCACCATCTGGCTCAGTGCCACCCTCCCTTGCTGCAAAGCTGAGATGGCTCTATGACCCATCTATAGTCATTTATTGTCTGTCCGCATTTCTGAAGATCTTCCATGATCAGAGTGCCACAGGGGGAGTTCTGTACGGTCAGGATGTGGGGGTTAACTTGGTCAGAGCCACTCTATGAGTTGGACTGCAGTCTTGCCTAGGCGATTTTGTCTACTGTTTGTGTTTTGAAAGCCCAAGGTGCTGATGTCAAAGTGTAACAGATATCAGTGTTTCCCTGTGTCCTTTCCCTGCCAAATCTCAAAAGAGGTTGGGCTTCCATGCCTGCAGCTTTCCTGGTCTCTCACCCCCATGCCCCCGGCCCACAGAGTGGGAACTCGCTCTCCCTTGTGTCAAGACATTTCTCTTACTCCTGCCCTTCTTCTGGTGCTACTCCATGCGGGCATCAGCACAGCAGAGGACAGTCTGGAGAAGGTATTAGCAAAGAGAAAGGCTGAGGAGGAACAGGGAATGTTGAACTGACTGTTCTTGGTAATTGATTACCTACCAATTGCTACAGAGAAGGTTGGAGGTGGGAAAGGCTTTTGTGTAATCCCACCCACCTCACCAGAACTACAAAGGTATGCTGTCATGGTCCCTTCTGGAAACTTCTGGTGCCATTTCTGAACTGTTACAACCTGTATTTCCAAAGCCGGTTCATATTTATATTTCGCAATCCGAATAAAGATAACCCTTACTCCGTAGCCTTCTGTCTGCTTGTTTTAATGGGTAACTGGTTTAACTTAGGAATTTTCTAGGCCCTGACTTGGTATCAGGCTCTATAGCAGGTCTATTTATATATACTATCTCAATATCCCCCACAACTCTGTGAAGTACTATTTCTGTCCCATTTTTCCAAAAGAGGAAACTGAGGCTCAGAAAGGTTATATAACTTGCCTAAAGATGCCTGGTTAAGTGACAGAGGTGGGACTGGTTATCTGACTGAAATTATTTTGTCTTAATACTTACACCATACTGTCTCTGACATAAGAAAGAATAGATCTTTCACACGGGGAGTTTGGCTGGCTGTAAGCAGGAAAGACATCCACCCGTTCAATCAACAGATCCTGGACTCAGGACCTAGTCCTATGCAAGCAGGCATTGCTCTTGGCAGAAATGAGACGTCTTTGACTCCCCGCTCAGCTTCACAGCCAATGCATCAACAAATGTTGTCAGCCCTACCTTTAGAGGACACGCCGTATGCAGTTACTGTCACCACTGCCACTACCATCGCCCAGTCCAATTTACCATCGTCACGTGCCTGGACTCTCGACGATGGCCTCCTGGCTTGCTAGTTCCACTTTGCTTCCTTACAGCCTGTTTCTGGTGTAATAGAGCTATCCTGTCTTTCAGATCTTGTCCGCTCTGTAGGCCCTCTCTGACCCCTCCTATTATACAATAGCATATTCCTCCCCCACCCCACTCTTAGTCTCCTTACGTTGTATTTTTCCATAGCCCTTATCATCATTAACATTCCTATTTGTTTGTAATCCAATTCCTCCTACTAGAATGTTAGCTCCATGGGGGTGGGAGTGTGTACAATGCTCCGATCCCAGATTCTAAAACAATACAATTGAGCTGGAGGCACCCAATGTTGGTTACATGAATGAGTGAATATAGGAAATAATTAAAATCAGTGCAAGGCCAGCAAGTGGACAGACATGCAATCCAATGCTACCCTGAAAGTGCGGCTGGATTTAGAGAGGTGCCTTTGTTGGGGAGGATGGATAGGGATTACAAGATGAAAGTGGAATTTGGGGCATGTCAAGTGGCATGGTGTCCTGGGTGGATCGGAGGCAGAGCAATCCATTAGGAGGCCATTGGACAAGTGCCAGCAGACTGCCCCCTCCTCATCCTCTTCCATTGGAGAGTTGTGACATTCTGAAGTTCTCCACGGGCCCACACAGAGATGTTGTATGTACTTTGAATATACTTTTAAAACTTTGGGCAGCAGTAACTACCAAAGCCAAACATGCATACTTTATGACCCAGTAATTCTACTCCTAGGTATATACAAAAGAGAAATGAGTAATATATTCACCAAAAGATATGTACAAGAGTGATCTTAGTGCTATTTACAACAACTAAAAACTGGAAACTACCCAAATACACGTCAGTATTTGATGATGAAATGAATAAACGTGGTATATCTATACAACTAAGTACTGAACAGCAGTGTGGACGAATTGCACAATATATTGCTGAGTGAAAGAAGCCAGACACAAGAACGTACATTCTGTGTGATTCTGTTTGTTTAAAATTTAAAAACAGGCAAAACTAATCTATGGTGAAAGAAATAAGGAAAGAGATTCCTGTTGGGTTCAGTAATGACTAGAACGGGGCAGAGGGGGGCTTCTGGTGTTCTGATAAGTTGTACGACGGTCGGGGTGCTGGCTACATGGGTGTATTCACTTTGAGAAAATTCACCAAGTATGACTTGTGCATTTTTCTGTATGTATTATACTTCAATGGAAAGATTTCTAAAAACTTAGATAGGGGACCCTTGCTTTTTAAATTACATAAAGTTCTGTAAAGCACCAATGTATTACTTTGGTAATCAGAGAAAATAGAAAAGATGTCAGAAATAATTGTGGAGTAGTGAGTTACTTAGAACTCTCCGTGGGGCTCCCTTTCCTGCTTCCAAGCTTCCAGTCTCAAGTCCTTGTGCTGGGCTGGTCTTTTCCAAGCACACTTTGTTTCTCCAGCTAGTGTTTCCTGCAGGCTCAGGGCTTCCTGCCTTTCAGCTGCTCTCTCCTCCTGCCCCTGTTGCTGATGGGAGTTCCCCTTGGCGGAGATCCTTTGGAGATTCTCTGGGTGTCTTCTTGGTTGATACAGTGCCCCTGGGAGCCTCTGAACCTGCAGCCACTTCTTGAGATTGGCTGTCAGAAGAAATCTGGGCCCCCTGAGCACTGAAAAGCATTTATTTCTTCTCTGTGGGCTCCCCTTTTAGCCTCTTTTGAGATACTTTCTTTTATAATGTCCATAAGGATCATTATCAGGTTAATAAGCATTTACCATTTCATGGAGTACTCACTACTAGGTATGGGGCACTGGGCTGCACACTTTATGGGCACTACCGTCTTTGCATCTCACCACAGCTTGGGAGGTAGGTGCTCTTACTGTATCCGTGCCATGGATGAGGAAACTGAGGTACAGACATGTTAAATGTATGCCTAAGGAAAGCGGTAAAGGCAGGATGTGAGCTTTGGAAGCCTGCTTCCCAAGCCTGCACTGGAACCACTAGACATAGTCCTAAGTGAGTTCTCTGTGCCAGACTTATTTTCTCTTCTTCCCATATCCAGAAACAATATAGTGAAGAACTCATATGAAAACAATATTAGGGGCCAGGCATGGTGGCTCACGCCTATAATCCTAGCACTTTAGGAGGCCAAGGCAGGAGGATTGCTTGAGGCCATGAATTCGAGACCAGTCTGAGTAAGAGTGAGACTCCTGTCTCTAACAAAAAGTAGAAAAATTAGCTGAGTGTAGTGGTGTGCACCTGTAGTCCCAGCTACCTGGGAGGCTGAGGTAGGAGGACCGCTGGAGCCCAGGAGTCTGAGGGTACAGTGAACTATAATGACACCACTACACTTTAGACTGGGAGACAGAGAAAGACCCTGTCTCAAAAAAAAAAAAAAAAAGATCTTAGGGAGCAACTCCTCAGAGCTCAGGAGTTTCTTCTGCTGCCCTCACTTTACAGATTCATAGAAAGGTGGCTGAGGGGCCTTATCAGGATGCCGTGGAAGGAACAGGAGTGCAAGCTGACCCAGACTGGAGTCGGAGTCCAGGCTCCACTGTTTGTTAGGGGAGCACCCTCATGCGTGATACTTAACCTCTCTGAACCTGTCTCCCTGTCTATAAAATAGAGATACTAAAAATGTCTACCTCAAAGAGTTGCAAAAATCATACATGTGAGTTAAGTGCCCAGCTCAGGGCAGGCATGAGATAGCTGCTCAGTAGATGTTGGTTATCTTAAGTGACCTGTCCAAAAAGCTAATTACTGTAGAGGCACATCTAGGATTGAAACCCAGGCTTCTGATTCCCAGTCCACAATTCTTTCCTTAGAAACAAACAATGCTTTTCAATCACTTTCACATTTTAATGGTAACTTTGGTTTCAGAGGAACCCTAAAGGGTCTTAATAAGTATACATAGATTTAAAAAGCCATGGAACAGCAACCCTGTCCAAAAATATCACTTCAACTCGGCTGGCCTGAAATTCTTCCCTTTGTCAACAATGCCTGAAATTCAAGCTTCCTGTTTGAGAATGCTAATCCTCCTGGGAATAGCTATGCGTTAAGAGGCTGGCATTCTTTGTTGGTGTAATTCATTCTAGCTTCATCCATTCAGCAAATATTTGTGGAGGCCTCCCTATCACCTTCCAAATGAGAGCCATGCTCTGAAGGAGAGGGCATTTTGACACAGTGAGGCGTGGGGAAGAAGTGATTCTGGTGCAAGGACATTCATTTTTTCATTCAAAAAAATTAACTGAGTACTTAAAATGTGCCAAATACTATTCTTGTCACTGGAGAGGAACAGTGGACAACACTGATACATGGACCAACAACACATATGTAAATAAAGAAATAGAATAATTTCAGAAATAAGTAACACAAACACAACAGTGACGTGCAAAAGAGTTGGTGGGAGCAGAACTCATTTCTATAGGTGCCTCAAGGAAGGTCTCTCTGAGGAGGTAACATCAGAACGAGACAAGAAGGGATCAGGCACATGAAGGCCCCGAGACAAAAATAAGCTTAGTATGTACGAGGGACAGAAGGGCCCCTGCAGCGGCAGCATGATCATCGGAGGTTGACGAGGGAGGCAAGCAGACCAGATTGCGTAGGGCCCTGTGGGCCAAGGTCAACAATTTGGAGGCCAATGGAGTATTTTGAGTAGGGGAGTAATATGATTTGATTTATGTTTCAGAAATATGACTCTTCTATCCCGAGCAGGAGTTCTAGGGGATAAAAATAAAAAAAGCAAGACCGGTTAGGAGACCTTTGTAGTCATCTAGGCAAAATGTGATGGTGGCCAGAATGAGGGTGGTAGCGTAGGAGGTGACAGGATGAGGTTCAGGACATGTTTTGGAGAAATCACCTGTAAGACATGCTGATGGATTGAATATGGGTGTTGTGGGGAAGAGAGGAATCAAGGATGACTTCTTGGATTTTATTTATTTATTTATTTATTTTTTGAGACAGTGTCTCACTGTGTTGCCTGGGCTAGAGTGCTGTGGCGTCATCCTAGCTCACAGCAACCTCAAACTCCTGGGCTCAAGCGATCCTCCTGCCTCAGCCTCCCGAGTAGCTGGGACTACAGGCATGCGCCACCATGCCCGGCTAATTTTTTCTATATATTTTTAGTTGTCCGATTAATTTCTTTCTAATTTTAGTAGAGACGGGGTCTCGCTCTTGCTCAGGCTGGTTTCGAACTCCTGAGCTCAAACAATCTGCCCGCCTCGGCCTCCCAGAGAGCTAGGATTACAGGCGTGAGCCACTGCGCCCGGCCTCTTGGATTTTATTAATAGCCTGAGAAATTGGGAAATACGATGGTTCTGTTAATGAGAGTGGGGAGGAATGGGTGAAGAAGCAAGTTCAGAGGAACCACGAAAATCAAGAATTCTTTTACAGACGTGTTAAATCCACATATGGAAGGGTGAGGGAAGGCACTACAGGGAGGGCATTGGAAGGAAGGCGAAT